CACAGTTGAATTAACAGGCCAGGCTAAATAAAGTATCAGAGAGATCTTCTGAAACTCCAGAGGGAGAGACCTTTAACTTGAACAAATGTATTACCACCTTTCATCTGATGTATCAAGTATATGAAAAGTACAGTTTCTTCATTTGCAAAAAGGCATGATTGTAGTTTGTGTAATACTATAAAGGCTCTTGATAATTATTTTTTTTTTCCTCAGGACAAGAATAGGGAATTTAAAGAGCAGATGTGGATTCAAGGTCACTTCTCGAATGCTACTTTTTTCTCCTCTTCAGTTTCCTTGGGTATGTTATTTTATTTTGAATGGAGGGATTTCTGTCCTACACCTCTATGTATTTCCTCTTTAGGTATCCTCTTTTCACACACTTTCATGTGAACTCATTCTGCCCCTGCTACCAGCCACAGGCGCTTTACAGAGGGTGCTGGGTGGAGGAAAGGGTCAGTACCGAGAATGTACAAAAAAAAAAAAAAGAATAAAAAGGTATAGTTGAAGTATAAAATGTTCATATGGGGGAGCATAAAAACATTCAAAAATACACCAGCAAAAGTTGGGGGCAAAGCTTTACTGCTTTGTATTTAGGCACAGCACAGTTGTGGGTACAGATGGAAATGTATAAATGAAGGAAACCTGGAAAGAAATGTAAATGCTCTACGTTTAAATATGAAATCATTATCACATTACCCCAAAAAAGACTGAGGAACAACTTGCTAAAGTAAAAAGCTTTTGTGCTTACATCAGAGGCAAGAAAACTGCAGGTGAATGATGCTGATATATGAACGGAGGGACCAAGGAGAGGCACAGTGAAACAGGTGGATGTGCCCCCTGCATGTGCCCATCCCCAGGGGTTACATCTCTCAAATCGTTGTTTAAATTAACTTAAAGGTGTTATTTGACGTGATTACATTTCAGAGGGACTCCGGTGGGATCCATTGCTTCAGACCAGTAAACATAATAAAAATAACTAACACCTGTAGAATATGTGAGAATTAATGGAGGAGTCTCATCATCTGTTTGCAGAAGAGTTATGTTTCAAATCTGTCTGCCTGTTTCCTCTTCTCTCATTTTCAGAAGTTAGTGAACCTGGAGAGGAGGAAATAGCATGCTTGAATTTTCAAGGTTTTGCTGAGATTCCTCATCAAGAGCCTCAGGAAAAAAAACCACCCTAAGCTGTCGTGGGATGAGAAAGTTCCCGTCCTGGATTAGTGACTGCCTAGCGGGTGGGAAACCAAGCGGTCAGGTTTCACAACATCACAGAAGTCCCACAGGGATTTGCTCTGATATCTCTGCTGTTAAGCAGCAATAACAGATCTGCAAAGGAGAGGAGGAAGGGCTTAGGTTATGGGCTTGGCTGGCTTTGTCTTCAGAGGGCTGCTGGGACCAGAGAAGACACCAAGCAGCTGCAGAGGGATCCGGCCATCCTGGTGGCTGGGCAGCGCAAGGGCAAAGGAAGCCTAGCAGGGGTAAGATAATGGTCTTTAGTCCTATTTTATTCCTGCCCTCCGCCCTGTGCTGGAGAGAACTCTCAGTGAGTCAGTGCTGCTTGCAAAATATGCTGAAGTCATTACTGACAGCCTAGCGCTCAGGGCTTAGAATTGGTCAGGAAGGGAAATAGAAGTGGAGGAAGTTTTGGAAGGAGAACAAAGCAGCCCTGTTGTTATGTTGCTGCCAGACCACGCGGCCTGAGCGTGTGCAGCTGGGGTGTCCCCGTGCGCCTGCCTTGAGGGATGTTCACACGCTGCTAACGGTGCCGGGGAAGTTGACCCAGAGAGTCAGAGAACACGGGATTCAGCCCGGAAAAGCAATGAGTGGGGAAAGGAGGGTGTTAGGAGAGATGGTGCAACCATGAACAATGTGCAGAAAATGAAGACAGGATTACTGTCGGTGCGATTGGGTTTTCCTGGTGTGAAGCGGAGAGAGGGGAGAGAGGAGGGGTTGTCTCTGCACGGTGCGCAACTGCAGAATTCATTGCCTCAGGCTGTTTGGGCAATGTGCGTTACTTCAAGAAGCAATTAAACGGTGTGCAGAGGGTGGGCATTGGTACAGCTGATGACAGAGCTTTTGGGAAGCTGTGTGCATTTACTGGAAGAGAAATATATTCATATGTTTGTCCATACGTGTTTTCTCTGGGTATCTGCTGTCAGTCACTATAGGAGACAGGTAAGGGCTTGATAGACTTTTTGTTTAATGAGGTGAAGACACTGTTGTTAGCAGTTTTAGGGTAGATCTGCTGTGGGTAGTGGAAATGGGGATGGCCTGGTGTTCTCTGCCAGGGCACTGCTGTCTACAGTTCCCCAGGTGGATGGCAGCGTCTGGGATGCCAGAGGAGGCAGGACTTTCACACTTTTCTGTACTTTGATGATTAAGACATGACTCCAGTGATATACTTGGACAAGAAAGGTTAAGTATAAGAGTGTGTGGACGGGATATAATTCCCTGACTGCCTTGAGGATACTGCATCACTCACTTGTTCTCTGCACAGGATTAATCTACCCCCAGAGGACTTGCTGTGTGGGGTAAGCCTGCCAGCCAGCCAGTGCTGCACCCCACAGCCGCCTTGAGCTCTAGATTTCAGGAAGGCAACAGCTATTTGTTTAAGTGTTTTTATAGGTTTGGGGGATTTTTTTTGTCCTTTCTTTCTTAGTGCTCATAGCTGACACCTTGTGCTTTGTGTAGGTGATAAGTTTGTGTCACCTCCAGAAGAGCACATTTGTACTAACTGCTGCGATACAGAAGCGCACAGAAGTGACTTAGCTAAGGGTGTGGAAAGAGAGCACCACTTGTGGGGTATCCTACCTTGCCTGGAAGAGCAACCGCCTTCCTGCTCGGCAGAAAAGGTTTGCTGGCAGAGTGCTTGAGGGGGACCTCATGTTAGGATGCTACTTGTGCAAATAAAATATATCATGTGAAGTAGTAGTAATAATTAAACTGAACTGCAGTGAACCCTTGGTGAACAAAAGGTACCTTGAAATGTTGTGGCTCTCCTAAAATGTACTTGCTTGCAGAACCTACTTTGCCAACTTACAAATCAAAGCAAAATACCTGTTCACATTGCAGCAGCATGCACAGTCATCAAAGGCAGAGATCACATTGTGCTGAGTGCTGAAGGTGAGTTTTCTAGGTTCCTTTGTGGGGCCCAGGGAGGAGAGGAGGTGTTGTAACTTGTTGGGCATCCTCTGCTGTGTGGCATTGGGAGGAGCATCCCAGCAGGAACTTGCATTGAGCTGTAAGGTTGTTCCACCGCGAAGAACCTGCCACTCCTCTAGATGATCCTAGCCACGGGAAACAAAAGCTGACGATACCAAGATGCGCCTGCTACCACCTACACCTGGAAGCCTGTCAGGAGAGGCTTCTGAATTCAAAAGCATGGCAGAACCCTCCAGGGCCCGGAATGAAGAGCTTCACTCTGCAGGGCAGTGGGGCAGCTGGGCGCCTCCCATGGTGCAGAGGATCTGTGCTGCCCGCGCAGAGCATCTTGGTGGAGTTTCCTGGAAGTGACACCCTCATCTTGTGTAAAGAAGTATAGCATAAATCAAGTCAGGTTGGGGTCTGCACGAAGCATGGTCAGAGGGAGGTGTCTCAGAGTTTTGTACTATGCTGACACTGGACAACTCTATTTTGGTGTTTCTCTCGTGTGCAGTTTGGAAAACCTTGCTGCCTAAGTGTGGTTTGCCTACAGAGCCTCTGACAGCATGGAGGCTGACTCAGTGGTGCTTTCACCTTTAGCAAATGGCTTTTGCAGTCTCCTGCCTTCATGTGGCTCTTTCCATTCCCAAGGGCACCAGGCAGATACCGAGCAGGCTGGCCCACCAGGGTCTCCAGCTGCAGAGGGGACCGGGGGGGAGGCAGGGGTGAGACTGTCTTGCAGAGACCGCAGCAGAAGAGGAACTATAAACAGCACAGGGAACCTTGTGTTAACTGCTCACAGAAGAGAGTGCAGTGATGTCCTGCATACCCTCCCAACAGCCCCCCCTTCCCCAGACTGCTGTACCTCTGCATCTGAGACCATACTGGCCAAAAAGACTTCAGCGTGCCTTTCTAGCACTTGCTTCTCAAGCAAATGAAAAGTGAGATGGTCTGTCAAGGCAGGGGAAATTACTTCAATAGAAGCTAGAAGTACTAGTGCTTCTAGAATTTTGTTAATTTTTTTTCTTAGTTTATGAAGTGGAGGTAGAAGAATGTTTACTTTTTAAGCGGCCTGCTCTGTGAGAAATCAGGATGAGTTCCTTCACATAGTTAAAAGAAAATATAAGTAGTCAGCATTAGTATGCTTTAATAATTTAGTATTTAATCCTATGAACAGTAGCATTTGTAATTTAGCTTATGTGGCATTGTACTGACTCGGAATTTCTGCAAAAGCAAGCTACTTCTTGAATTGTATAACACTGTGAAAGCTCCCTTTCTCTTGCTGCATTTCCTTGGTAGAGTGAAGCTATAAAGTCTAAAATACGTTTTTCTAGTCTGTGAAGACCTGTGGATTAAGATATATGTTGTAAAGCAACTTTTCATACGACTCGCTCCAAAAAAGCAGGGAGTCTTCTCTGCCGTTGCATTTGAGAAAGAGTGTGTGAATTGCCCAAGAATAGGCAGTAAGATATTTCCCTAGGAAAAGGTAGCTTTTTCTTTCCCCTGTTCATTGTGCTAAGCCTCAGCACTGGGACTTTTTCTTGACTGTATTGCTGGTGTGTCCACTGCGCAGAGCATTCTCCATGGAGGAGGCTGTCGGTCTAGTGGGAGCGTAGAGCAGGCAGCCTGCGAACCAGTTCCTGCTTTAGCTGAGAACAGTTTTCAGACTAAGAAGGAAGATGCCCATTTTGAGTGGGCATTTAAGTGTTTAAAAAGCTTATGTGGTGTTTGCTGCTGCTGCTTCCATGCCTGGGTAACAGCTTTTGTAGGACCGCAAGGCTTGTCTGAGGAAATACTTGCTCATCCCCAGAACCATGAGGTTCTTCCATAATAGGTTTTTTTTTTTCCCTCTTTTTTTGCAGGTGTTTCTTGAACTCTTCAGTGTGTCACAGAACTGTTGTGTTTTGCGATATCCTGCTTAAACCCTTGGAAGAAAATCTGCCAACAGCCAGAAATGACCTGAGTTGGAGAGTTGCTGCTTTATCCCCAGGTAGTACATTGGTAGCTCAGTGGCTTCTCAATACCACAGCTTAGCACAGCTTGCTTTCAGCAAGTTGCTGAAGGAGGGAGTTGTCACTAGGGTCTCTCTCTCTAGGATGGGTAGTGATCTGCATGTGTGTGTCTCCTGAGGAGCATTGGGACAGCTGGTGTCTCTAATCAGCTCCCATGTTCTTGGACACATCCTGGAGCAGCCTTGTAGGGAAATGAGCAGCTGCTCTCCTGTATTCTGTGTTCCAGTGTGCCGCTCACGAGCTGGTTATGCCTCAGCATACGTTTCCTACACCAGCCCCTTGTGCTGCCTAGGTTGAATTGGCCTTTGGGCATTCCTGCTATTGAATTGCCCCCTTTTATAACATGATGGGAGCTGGAGGTACCTGCTGATATGAGGCAGTGCAAAAGAGGAGAGGGAATACTGTACAACAGGGTCTGGCTTTGCTTTCTCTGGTGGTAACATACCTTGAGTAATGTTTATCAAAGTGCATTTATGAACCTAAATATGCCTCAAACCCTACTGTGGATTGATTGGCTCCCAGCAGCTGTTGAGTGAGGCTTCATGTTGGGAGTGCGCTCAGCCCACTGCAGGCTTGCAGGAGTTTCCTGTGAAGTTACCAAGTGTGTCAGTACCAGGCTTTTGAAAGTCCCACTGTTCATGAACTCACAGCTTTTATTTCAACAGTTATATGCCTCATTATGTGCTTCCTTAGTGTTCATGCCCATAGTCAAGTAGAAGCTCAGTTCTGGCAATGCTAGTGGTGGGATTTGGATATTGGCTGGATGGGATGGGAAGTGAAGGAAAGAGAAGTGGAGACTTACCCTGCTGCTGGTATGGTACTGGCTGTGTTAAGCTTGACTGTCACCTGTGGAAGGGAATAGAAAAAAGGTTTGAGTGGCAGTGGCCTCAGATCACCATTACATAGCATGCAATGGCTAATAGGCAGCTGAAGTCTTTCCATTTGATGTTTGAGGTGATGGACTTTGAAATGAGATCTTTAAACAGCCTGAAATTTTAAAATTACCCCTATGTCCTCCCTCTCCCCTCCCATTGCCCGCACACTGATGTTTATAACTTTAAAGATACACAGGCCTGTGCACGCAGCCCTGACTTAGATGTGTTCTTCTCTCCCAGGACCAGCTTCCTGCCCTGTGTTTAGCATCCCATTTGGATGCACCGTACACTATGGTTCACATCAATGTGTTGAAAAAATTGATGTTTGTTCTCGTGGTGATACTGGTAGCGCTGACAGTTTGCTTGTGGAGAGAGATGAGAAGAAGCTACTATGTTCCTTTCAAGACCGAGAATGATGATTCGCAGGTTCACAGGACTTCGGAAAAGTGGATCCCACTTAAATCACAGGGCCTCTTCCATGAAGCAGCCAGTGAACTGGGTCAGATACCCAAAACATGGTTTGGTAACCACAACAAAGTAAAAGGCAGCACCTCTGGAACAGCTGAAAAGTCCAAGAAAGCAGCAGACTCTGTGAAGGTATGGGATAAGGACAGCTCATCCAGAAATCTCATACCCAGGTTGCAGAAGGTCAGAAAAAACTACTTGTCCATGAACAAGTACAATGTGACTTACAACGGGAAGAGGAACACTGCTAAACTCAGCCCAGAGAAGCTGCTCTGCCAGCTACGGGACAGGGTGAATGTGAGCATGATACAGGGATCGGATGGTCCTTTTGATACCTCTGAATGGCAGCGATACCTACCAGGGAAAAGCCTCAATGAAACAGTGGGCCGCCTGGGTCGCTGTGCCGTTGTGTCCTCAGCAGGGTCTCTGAAATCATCTCATTTGGGACAAGAGATAGGTTGGTATCTTTCTATTAGCATGAAGTCAAATAACATTGTTTTATAACTGACACTGAATAGAAGTAACCTACTGTCGTGCTCTTACCAATAAGTGACTGGTGTGGTCACAAAGGTGTTTAAAATAAGTTGAAATATTATCCTTGAACTTCTTCTAGAGTTAGTGAACATAACAGACTAGGAAGAGATGGGAGTAATGATCAGATTCTCCCTTTCTTTCTGAATGTACACACCGCACAGTGTAGGCTGCATCAGTGCCTGTGAGCCTTGGACCTTGGGTGGACCAAAACGAGCGAGCCCCAAGGGAGCGGAAGGGTTGGGTTGAGCTGAGAGGACATGACGTATGTGCAGTTAGTTCTATTCCAGCTAGTCCTTTCAATTTTCATGATCGCATTGGCATCACTAGAGGGTAGCACTAATACCGGATACCAGGGAGAGGTCATGGTTCCTAAAGTGTTTGTTTATTGAGAGGGTTTGCGGTGGGTCGAGTAATGCCAATGCACTCATTGCACAGTCAACAGTCAAAATTTTTCATTCAGAAAGACTTCTTCAGAGAAGTAAAACAAAACACTAAAGGGGAAAAAACCCCACTGGACACAGCCCTGAGCAATCTGCTGTAGCTGACCCAGTGTTGAGCAGAGGGGCTAGGCACAGATAATCTTCATAGGTCCCTTCCAGCCTTAGTGACGCTGTAATTCTTGCTCATGGCTTTCCAAAAGTGGCACTGCTTCATTCTGAACCACAATGCAGTGGCTGAGTTTGAGTGGTCCAGGAGACCATGGAAAAATTTTACAGAGCTTTATTTTATCTCTTCTTTAGACAAAGTTTGGTGATGCTTTGCAAAGTCTTATCTGACCATATTTATCTGCGGTTAATGCGTTAATTAATAAATGCTGAAGCATTGGTCTTGTACCATGGATTATAAAGTAGCATGTTCTGATACCAAAGCATTTTGAGTCTTCAAGAAAGCAGCATGCAGGGGAAACCAGCTGTCCAGCCTTCAACTCAGGATTTTGTGCCTGGCAGAAAATTCTCCTGTGCCTTCAGTTCCCTCAGCTTTCTTCACTGATTGTTGTTTGAGGCTCAGTTAAGATTCACACTTGGCTGAACTGCAGCTTCACTGTAGAAGTTTTAAAGCCTATGAGTGTTCTCTCCAGTGGAAATTGTTTGCAGGCTTCAGTGTGTCCATATGTTCTCTGTTGGATCAGGCCCCTTTGGCCTGCACTTAGCTGCAAGTAGCCTTCATCCTCTGAAAGAAGTAGATAGATAGCTTTTAATACATTATTCACGGACAACTTGGGCAAAGCCTTCAGAATCATAGTCCCCAGATACTCATGGAAGGGGTCAGGGTTTTGTTCTGGTACTCGCTCAGTTCTCCCCCAAACTCCTCTCTGCTCCACAGGGCAGGTGGGCAGGCGCTAGAATGAGGTTGAACAGTCTGAAGTGTGTTAAAATGCCATGAAAGATGCAATGAGAAAGATAGTGGCGGTATGAACCAGGATAGCATTACCTTCTGGTAAAAATTACAGGTGGGCGTTGGTTGATGTAATTGTTTCCACCTCTTAGGAGCGTTTGAGGCTAGGTGGGTCAAGACTTGGTAAGCCAATTCTGACTTTTCCTTTGAGTACCTGTCTTGGCTTGTTTAGGTGCCTCATGAAGTTCAGTAGCTAAAGGTTTCCGCAGAAGTGACCTTAACACCCTCCCCTGACACAGCTGGCTTGTGTCTTTGTTAGACTCCTGCATACGGATACAACTGCTTGCTCCTCCATAAGGGGGCCCTCTCGAGAGCTGAGGGTGGCATTTACAGCGTGTTGGAATGCAGTCCATGCAAGCACTGGGTTCGGTATCAGAGCAGCCAAGAAGTGCGACGGGCTGTGTTCTGGCTGCGATGCAGCTGAAAGGGCGTCAGACGTGGAAAGCCATTTCATTGTTCCTACGGCCGGCCTCAGAGCCTGTCCCCAAAACTGAAGCACCAGTTTGTTCCAGATCGCAAGGGATGGATGCTGGAAAGGTCACTGTGTAATGTGCCTGAGGCGAATGCTGTTAACCCTTGCTGGTGTCCCTGCCTTGCGTTCCTTGCACCTGGGTCACAGGCTTTAACCTTTCTGCTCAAGCAGTCATCTCTGCTAGTGATTCTGCAGAGTTTTCGGCACTTGCAGCCTTGAGCTGGGCAGAGTGAATATCAAAGGATTCAGGAGTATTCAGTGTATTTTTGTACAGTTTTTTTCCTAGTTTTGACCTGATGTATTTCCAGGTAGGAAAAGCTGTGGTTTTGTTGGAGGAAGGTGCCAGAAAGGTACTAAATCTGACAGGCTTAAAATGAAGCATTTGCGTAGATGAGCACAATGGATTGCTCAATTATTGTTCCAGGAAATATTTGCTCTGTGTAATCATGTTAAGATATCAAACGAGCAAGTAGTCAATGTAAGGGAGGCTGGCAGAGCAGAACGGGGAGAAGCTTGTAAACAAGCAGCTTGTATCTTACTGGGCTCTTGGTGTTATTGAAGGTTATGAATTGCCAGTGAAAAATCTGATATGAGAAATACCAAGTGCCACGCAACCAACTGGAGACAGAGTGCTTCAGAGAGCCAGCTACTCTGCCTGTGCAGTCATTAAACACCCCTTTTAAATGCAAATTTAGGGCATAATAATGCTTGGTGTCTGGCTGAAGTTATATGGGGAAATTATAACCCTGTACTCTATTGATGCAAGGTAGGATGTGGAGCTGAGAGTCTGTAGTGGTAACTACAGAACTGCTTCTCAGTGTGGACACATTTTTTCAGAAACATCACCTTTCTGGGTTTTTTGTGTTGCTTTGGGAGGGCTCTAAACAAGATCTACTTGTCTTTGAGAATAAAGTAGCTGAGAAACTAGTCTTCACTGCCAGTGATTACCAATCCTCCAGCATTGCTTGTGAGAACACACCTGTTTTCAAGAAAATGATCTTGAAAAGACCTGGTTCTGGACCAGGCGAGCCCTTCTGCCCTGGCTGGGGACTTGGCAATTCCCCACAGACCCCAGCTGCCGCTGCCGTGAGCTGTGGTTGTGTGGCCTTAGCGCAAAGGCAGGGAAGTTGATCCTGTTCCTTTAACTCAATGCCTCTGATCACGGGAAAGGTTTCCTATCCAAATCTAGCCAAGAGGTATGGAGAAGCCAGGGTGACGGGCACGAACGCCTTCTGTGCCGCAGCAGCAGCCTGGCTCTGTGACATTACAGCAGCGTGGCCGGCTGTGCTGAGGCAGAGGAGGGTGCTGGAGGAGTGCTGTGCTATCTTAAGAGATGATGCCAGCAGAGGAGAACGCAGTGAATCCCAAGGCATGTAACAAGCTGTGCCTGTAAATGCACAGCGGTGGTTTTATTTCTGTAACGTGGGAGGTATGCTGGCAGGCTGAAGTCAGCTTTGCTTTCTGCTGTGGTTATTATACACGTTTCTCGGGCTGGTCAACCTCCAGGCTGTAAGAGAGGACAGTGGCTTGCTGTTATTTCCTAGTTCCTTAGTTTTCAGCCAGCCACGTGGTAAATTAATTGTATATCGGTCTATCTGCTGGTAAAGTGGAAGGAAGAAGAGAGAAGGGGGAAGGAGATGCTGAACTCCTCCGTGCAGAGCAAATGCTAGGGCTGCTCTCAGCCTGCCAGTGGATTGTAGTTTAAAAAAGTGGATTTTTAAAAGTGTATTGATCACTAAGTTAGACTAACAACTTCTTCCACAGAATCTGGCTTGGTACTTCTAATTATTACGTGGAAAGCCGGGGACTAGCCAGATAGTATTAGAAATGCAGGTGAATAGCCTATTACACATCTCTTCTATCACTCAAAAACCAGTTGTTAGCTTACAGGTTTTCACTCTGTTTTGCTTTCAGATAGCCACGATGCTGTTTTGCGATTCAATGGGGCTCCTATCAAGGGGTTTCAAGAAGATGTGGGGCAAAAGACAACAATTCGTCTTGTGAACTCCCAGGTAGGTCTGACTAACATGTGCCAAATGGGCCAAGCGTGGCAGAGCTGTGTACCTCCCCTGTGCTGCCTGGGAGCTGAGCAGCAGGCTGAACTAACAACATCCACGGGGCTTCTGCATTCATCTGCTGCTGGGAGGTCTTTAAAATGAAGTTGGGGAGAACAGGGCTTTCTATCCAATTTCTCCTGTCCCTAGCAGATAGCCATAGGATGGGAACATCTTTCCTTTCTGGGGGACAGCTGGTAATTCTGAGGTTACTGCAGTTAAACTAGCACGTGCTAGCTAACGTGCAGAAGCCTGCTTGCAATTTACGGCAGGCACAAAGTAATTTGATTTTTGTCTTGGCTTGAAGCCTCATTGTTAGTACAGGAAGGCCAGCTGCATGCTTGCTGCTGTGCTTTGGGAGTGTGAGGCAGGAATGACACTGCAGCTCAGCTAACACTGCTCAGCAGACTGAGGGGTGCCAAGAGACAAGTTGTGTCTGCCCCGGAGATGGGTATGAAGAATGAAGGAAGTTTACGTGGCTTTTAATAAAAGAACAATACTTCTTTTCTGCCCAGCGATTCTGCAGACCCTTAGATAACGCATTAACCAGGGCTGTTCAATGGCTGAAGACAATTGGCAAAGGACCCACCTTTAAAGCTGTAGCCTGCACACAGCGAGGAGAGGATAGGGGCTCTGGTGGCAGTTGGAGGGTCCAGGACCTGATTACAGAGCATGACAGAAAGTACCTTTAATGCAAGGCGTTGCTTACCGAGTTAAATTTTCTCTGACTGGGAGCTCTTTCTAGGTATGAGGCTGTATGTCTGCTAATTTTCTTTGGACTTCAGTAGGCTTTGAAGCAGACTCTTGGTGGTTAGGAACACGTCTAGCAATACATTAGCAGGGTTAGTATGCCACCTGTTCAGGAGCAGAGTGAGACCCACAACAGAGACTATCGCTGCTCTAGGTACATCTCAGATGGTGTTTGCACCCTACTTCCATGTGTCTGTTACCCCCCATGTTTGCCCATTTCAGGGAGAGAAATTTTCAAGTGTGGACATGCAGAGAGAAGAGGAAATCACAGTAGTGCGTGCTGGTGAGGGAATGGAGTAGGACAGTAAGTATGGAATAGGCCAAGGGCCCCTGAATGAAAGACCTGGTGCAGCATTGCAGCACAGAGTATGAGCACCTCCTCACCCAGGAAGAGGGGGAGGAGGCTGTAGGCACATGAAGACTGGGCGAGCGAGTGGGGGAGAGTTGGGGGACTGAGGCGTAGCTTTTGTACTCCAGAACCGAAAAGGCAGTTTGCTTTCCTCACCCCAAAGCTAAGATTTATAGGCCTGGAGTTTTCTCATCTGCCTCTGTGTGAGGAGTCCATGGGTGCTGCCGTGTAACAAGGTTTGAAGTTTCTCAAAGCAGCAAGTAGGAGCTTGGCCATCCTCTTCAAAGGCAAGACGCGGAGCTAGCTTGTAACCAGTTTCCCTAGTTCATTTTGTGTGTCTTTTGAAATACATTCTTGCTTCTTGTGTGAATGCTGTTGCTACCTCTTTCTGCCCTTGGGTCTCGCCTTCTCCCCTTGCTACCATGCTCTGTTCTGCTGCTTTCTGCATCTCGATTCCCCTGTGTTAAACCACCAGTCAGATGCTGGACGGTTCGTCCTTTCTGAACCAATCTGGTTTTTAGCAGACATATCTGGCTGCTGACATCCTTCTTCCTCTGCCCTGTTTGACCTCTCCATTTTTTTATCTGTCCCTTCTGTGTGTGTTTTTATGATGTCAGATAGGTGTTATCACTTAAGAAACCTTTCTTTGGAGGATGTGCTCATTGCCAAACTTACTGTGATATGAAACCAGCAAAAACATGTACATGACCTGTGTGATACTAGGGTTATCTGCACAGAGAGGAGGGTAACTGTGTGATTGTACAGCTGTAATATAGCAGTAATAGCTCTCCATGTGGATGCTCTTATTTTGGACAAAGTGTAGTTACAGCCACGTCATTATAGTGCTTCTGTTCTTCACGCAGATCAGCCTGCAGCCATGGGTTTTTCATCTGCTGCCATCCCTTCTGAACAGAGACACCAGCTAAGAAAACTTCAGTTGCAGGGAGAGCAAAGTTGTTCCAGTTATTAGAGTTAACTCAAAGTTAACTCAAAATGCAGCATTGATCTAGCTGCTGAACAGGGCAAAAGATGCTCTCCATGTGAATAGTGCAGCGTCTCTCTTCTGGAGTTTCTAAGCTGAACAGCTCTAATTGCAGTCCCTGCTATCTTCAGGAATCACTGGATTGGGAGCCTGGTTTTCTTCTGTGTTTTTTATTTGCACTTTTAATGGTTCAGTGCTGTTTTAGTCATGGCAACATCATTTTAACCTTCTTGTTAGTAGGGTTGCCTGATCACACTTTGTTTTCAGCTTGCTGCAGGAGCTGCACCTTGCAGAGAGCTCTTGCAGGCATCAGGTACTAGCTGGACAAGCTGTAATTTGTTCTTGTTCTGGGTTTGGCTTTTCTTGTAAGTGGTCACTGGGAACAGGGATGGGATTGTGGCTTGGCTGCTCTTATTTTGGCTCTTACTATTGATCAGTCCTCAGCCCATTCCCAAAATTAAGCAAATGGGATCTTCTGAATCTAATATGTCAAAACTAGTCTGTATTGAGTAGTATCCCTTTGGCACATGTGGCCAGTGGCCCTAAGTTGCTTAATAATTATTTTAAGATATTTTTCTGTAATTTGGTGACCAGTCTCTAGCACATATCTGGCATGGATGGTTTTAACAGTAGAGTGGGGTATCTTGTGCATCTGTGTTCATAGGGAAAGATCAATAGATTGATACTGGTGGGAGGGGGGGAAATTTGGGATCCTCAGATCTGAGGATAGGCTTGTAGGTCCACCAGCTTGGTAGCCATTCTAACTAAAGAAATCCTTTAACATTACCTTGCTTATTTTCTTAGACCTTCACTGGTTCATCAGTACTCCTTCCTTTTATGGCATGTTTTCCTGCAGTCTCACGCAAGGCATTGATTTGCCCTGGGAAAGTAGTCCCATCTTGTGAAAATAAGGGCTGAAGAGTGTGCAGAGGGAGTACAAATGTTGTTCTGTAGGACACAACTCCTTTCTGCAGAGCTGACCAAAGTCCAGAGTACGTCATTCCTCCCAGCCCTTGTTTACAGTTCTCCTTGGCTGGCTTCTCACTGTTGTGGAGAGCACTCTGCTTTGGCTGTGTTTGCTGTCATTGGCACTAACGAGTCTGCAGGGAGGAAGAGAAAGGAGATAGCACATCAGTGGAATGGCATAAGATTGTGATGGGAAGGGAGAACATGTTTAGATTACAGGGCATTGACTGTGGTAGCCAGAGAGAAGGAACTCATTTTGATACAGTCAGTAAAGGTACCAGGAGGGTAGGGGCTGAATTAGCAAGGTACTTGCTAAACAGGGAATTGGCTAAAGAGCAAATTAACTAGGAAATTAATAGGTCAGCTAACTAAATAGGATCAAAAAGCTGGGCAAGGCAATTAAGTCATGTAGCAATTTAAATGAATTTAACTACTTGGAAAGAATCAGTCAGTATTAAACAGAACAAATAGGCACTAAAGGTATCTGGGGAGCCAGATTCCTCCAGTAAACGGGTTAAGTGACCAATAGATAACTAGTAGTGCCAAGAGCCAGCTCTATGGCGTGGGGAAGGAAACAGCAAACACCCTGTGGCTGTGGAGGTGCTCCCCACCTGGTTTCTTATCCCTTTGCTTTTGTGCCTGTCCCAGCTCTATAGGGGTTTGTGTGCCTCTGCCAACTCACATGGCTTTGCTTGGCTGACCTTTGCTTTCTCTGATGCTCAATCTCCCTGGAATCCCCCTTTCACGTGTTTCACATCAGAAAAGTTCCTGAAAGATTTCTAGCCTTTAAATAGAAACAATGAAATGAAAAAGCGCCTATGTTCCATGCCCTGTTCCTGTCCTGTTGCAGTGCTCCATCCCACTCGTACCTGGCTAAGGGGATGGCTGGTGCCAGCTGGCATGCACTCGCCTTGCCTCTGCCTCTGGTGTCCGTGGACTGGAGACAGAAGTTCACACCTGCAGCCTTGCACGCTTCAGCTAACAAGTGGCCTAGATATTTTAGCTACTGTAGGGAAATGAAACCAGGCAGTACACGTGGTTGAAGCCAAAGCCTAATCCCGCAGAGTTAAGAACAGATGTGAGGAAACCCTTTTTGCTTTTGGAATCATTTGCATCTGGGCTGGCCAGAGCATCCTTGTGCTCTGGTTATGAGGACAGCCAGGAAGGCAGCCTGCTGCTGGGGGCAGCAGGGATACTCAAGGATAAATTGGCTAGCTCTTAATTAGATCCATGGAGAAAAACGGGATAAATGGGAGCCGATTTTTATGATGATGCTTTTCTTCAGCGGATGTTTATAAGCGGTGCCTGTACAGGTTATGCCTTTGGGTGGAGAGGACGGGAGATCAGTCCCTGTCTTGTGTGATTCTGACTGTTTGGTCTTGCTACAGATGTGGGTTACCCTTGGGTGCCACATGCTGTAGAGGGCAACTTCTCTGTTTGAACCACCTGGTTCTGTTCCTTTGGGAAAGCCACTGGTGGAGCAGTCTCTCTCCACCAATACTGTCTCTAGCCCTTGTGCTTTGCTGTTGTGGTGCTTTCCTTCTCATTGCTGCTCTGAGGGGATTCAAACCTCCCTCGCCCACGTCGCACCATCCTGCTCTGAAGAGGTGAGGTGGGGCTTGGCGCAAGGCAGGGTCACCTGGGGGTGCCGTGGCCACCCACGTCTCTTGCAGCAGTGGTCTCGCAGCAAGTTGGCCCGGTGCTGAGCCCTGGCTGCCTGAGTTTGTCCTGCTCAGGGAAAACCACCCGCGTGCAGGCTTGTTCTGGTTCAAGCGAAGGTTTTGGATAAAGCCAACAGTGCGTTTGTGTTAGGCTCTTACTGGACTGTCCTGGTGACTGGTGGCAGCAAATGATGTTCCCACCTGCTTCTGGTAGTTGTAGCGATGGTATCCATCATACAAGCTGCGTCACTCTATGGGTCCTGGCCTCATTTTATTATTGAAGATGGATAGAGAAAACCTCGTAAAGCGTAATGGCAGTCTTTCTTGTGACTGGCCACTAAATCCTATGTGGCTAGACAGGGCTAGAGTGAGTGTTGGAAGGGCATCACTGGGGATTGTGTCCTTGCCTGCATACAGTGGGGCATGCTCAAACACTGGCAGTGAGGTGGCTGTGGCTGTATTCAGGTATGTTTTACTGCTTGGCTGCCTGCTAATTCTGACAGCATACTGTATATTATTGTATTTGTTGTTGTTTTTCAAGCTCGTAACTGTTGAGGAGCAGCAGTTCCTGAGGGAAGCACTATATAACACTGGAATCTTAATTGTCTGGGATCCAGCACCATATCATGCAGAAATTGATGAGGTAAGGTGTGAGTTTTCTGTAAATAAAATCAGTCATATACTTTTAAGTGCATCTGTTAACCCACTTCTTCCTAATATGGGCACTCACTCATTTTAAGGCTATTCTTGTTTACCTCTTCGTTATCATGGGTATATCCATATGTACTTCTGAGAATATCCCATGCATGGGTGCTCCTGGGGAAACACTTGCCTGTTCCTGATTCCTGTGAAGGGCCTCAGGCCAGGTGTAATGGGTCACCACCTTTACTTTCGCATGGGCTGATGCTGCAGGGAGGATGTCACTACTGGCTGCAGCAGTTGTCGTCTCATCAGAGGATGATCTCCTCTTTCTGACAGTTGCTGTAAGATTTTCTGATGGTTAATGCTTGGATATTTCAAGCACCAAGTCAGACATGAGATACACTCGATGCATTATGAATGGATTGGGAAACCCTCTGAATATCTTAGGAAATGTCTCCTCTCTGTGTCAGCTAGGCTTTCACTTGTGGGTGTTGCAATCCCTCTAGCATTCACTTTTCATTTGAGTACAAAAGGGCATTATTTGATAAGTGATGAGCTTTGGAGGCTTAGGGTGAAAGCAGGTAGGAGTGAATAGTCCATTCTTTGCTTTTATTTTAAGCCCTGTCTGTAACTGAGAGGTCTTTGCATTCCTTTCCCTGGACTGCATTTCCTATTTTCTCACTGATGTTTATTCTTGTGTCTAGTTCCACACCTCCAGGAGACATGAGGGTATATGTACGGCATGTTTAAGAGTCAGTAAAACCAGGATGGAATATTTTTAGCATAGGAAAAAAATCTCAAAATTACTTTAAGAAAACATAAACCCTTCCTTCCTAAGTGTTTTTACTGAAAGGGGAAGTTTTAGGATGGAAATCAGCTCAGCCTGGTTTAAGAGCCTGTGCTGGGGCATGTGCCTGCAGAATAGGATGCTTTGTACTCCAGCATGGAGAGGGGTCAGGGTCTGTAACATTTAAGGCAGAGTTCTGAACATCATCTGCTATTGGGGGGTGCATAATTAAATTATACAAGGTGCTGATCTTGTTTAATGGTCCTTCACTGAGATTTGGGGTTTCCCTGCTCTGTTCACTGAGTCAAGTCACCACAGTGACCCGAGGGGCAAATGAGGTGGTGGGGGACAGCGAGTGAGTGGATGTAGGTATAGCCAGACCTTTCCCTCCTGGCAGCAGCAGGTTCACTCACCCTTGTTTCCTCTTGATTATGGGAAAGTATGGGCTAGAAATAAAAAGAGTCTGACTTGTTTCTGTTTTGCAGTGGTACAGAAAACCAGACTACAACTTTTTTGAAAGCTATAAGTTGTATCGTAGTGCACATCCAGAGCAGCCCTTCTATATCCTGAATCCAAAAATGCAGTGGCAACTCTGGGATATTCTGCAGGAGAATTCCCTGGAGCATATTCAACCTAACCCACCATCATCAGGAATGCTTGGTAAGATAATTGCCATCTAAACTTCTTGTTCAGTTTGCAGGCAGGAACTCTCCAGGATGCCTTTTTTCAAAGACAACTACAGATTTATGGTGCTTATCAGAGTTGCTTTTACAGTGTTTGTCTTATGCCAAAATTTAAGCTTCCTGTCTTTAAAGTAGCAGCTCAGTTGTGTTAAAGTAAGCAGTTTGCAGCACCCCCCTGAAACAGCAGTTACAAACATGGCCTGGTTCCACATGCAAACAGGAGAGCAGATAGCAACATCAAAATGGTCTCTAGGATTTCTAGCTTCTAGCGCCAGAGCAGTTCCCACGGGATGAGAAAGGAAGGGATACAGCTCCTGTGGGGTCAGATATTGTCAGGCAAATCTGGTTACTGCAGATGAAATCTAAATGCTTGTCTCTTTATCCTTTCCATATAAGTATGGAAATATATATATGAAAAAATATATATAGCTAAAGACTTAATGGGGAGCTGGGGATGGTCAGACTGAATAGTTGCCCTGAAAAGTTCAGTGATATTCCCCCTTATTCAGCATGCTAACGCCTTATTTGTCAGCATGCTAAATCCAGCCTCTCAGCGAAGAGGCTCATTTTATATTCTGCTGTTGCAAAGCTTTTCCTTCTTATTGGAGAGCAGATCTCACGACCAGCTGAATAAAAAGGAGTGAACTTCTCAGGAAGTTCACATGTATTTGAAATCACAGCGTAGACGTATGGTCCTGTTTGCCACGTGGATGTCCAACTGCTGTGCTTCAGCCTCTCCTCTGCTGCCATCTCTGCTCCTGTCACTGCTGGGGCACAGGCACCCTTCTACCTCTGTGTAAACAGAGTCACTTCTTATTTTTGGTGGTCAAATGTCTAATTTTCTTCCACAACCTTGCTCTTGCCCAGCACTTATTACATCATTGCCGGGATACGTGCAGAACAACTGCGTAACAGCATAGTCAATGACTTCAGCAGCAAAATTGTTGTTAACTGGAGTTAGGGGCTCAAAGGCAGGCACGGAGCCACATCAGACAGCAAATTCCTCTGGGGCTTAACTTTGGGCCAAGTTATCTGCTTTGTAAAACAAGTCACCTTGCCAGACTCGGGGGCGCAGACAAGTTCCAGTTTGCAGCTCTGGGTTTCCTGGAAGGCCTAAGCGTGGATGAAAATTGTCATTTGAAAAGGTGGATGAAAACATGTTTAAAATGCACCTTAGTTAAACAAGTGGTTTCACGGATGGGTTCCTCTAATGTCTTGTAAACTGTGTTCCTCTGATCATGCATGGTCCCTGATGTCTCAAATGCCGTGTGAATTTTCTGTGATACTATACATTGGTTCTATTTCCCTAGTATGTTCTCGCTATTTCTTGCACTTGGAGGAAAAGTAGCCCGTAGCTATGGCTTACTTCTGTTCTGGCCAGAAAGTTGACAGGTTGATCTGTGCCCAGCGCTGGCGTGAATGTCCTCGGGTGGTTCCTGTGCCTGTCAGAAGACACAGGAGGGCAGCACTGCTCTGCTGCGGGGGACCTGGGGGAGCCTGGGGAGCAGAGGCTGCTCCCTCTCCGCCAGCCATCTCCAAGCACAGTCACTTTCACATCCCCTGCCTTCACAAGAGGCAGGTGGAGAAATGGTGAAGGTTGTCTCATCGCTGCTTACCCAAGCAGGTTTGTGATGGGCTGTTTGGATCGGCTAATTGTAGCACACAATTGGCAGATGCCCAAGTTTCCACGAAGGTCACGGAGAATGTTAGCACTCTTAAAAATTGGCCTTTTGGCATGGCTGTTGCTATCAACAATCTGCTGTTATCAAGTCGATCGTGCACTTTGCAAGAGAGGGCTTCAGAAAACAGCCCTGTCTGGCCAGACTTGTTTTTTCCCCCTCTCGTCTGAATGTTCAAAAAGAAAACCCTTCCCCTTGGAGCTGGACGCTTCTTGCTGACCGCCTGTTTCACTGGCACGTTTAATCAGTTCTCTGGTTTGACATGGGGATGTCTGCTTTCTTTCCCTCCCTAGGCATCGTGATCATGATGACACTCTGTGATGAAGTGGACGTGTATGAATTTCTCCCTTCTAAACGGCAGACGGACATTTGCCACTATTACCAGAAGTTTCACGACCGTGCCTGTACCATGGGAGCTTACCACCCCCTCCTGTTTGAGAAAAACTTGGTGAAGCATATAAACCAGGGCACAGATGAGGACATTTATATTCAAGGGAAAGTTACTTTGCCCGGCTTCCGAAACGTGCATTGCTAGCAGATCAGTTTTTAGTGTCTTTCGGAATTTTTCTTTATTGTCAAAGCACTTTTTAAATCAGAGTTGTCAGATTTGTTAGGTCTAAGCACTGGTGTGTTTTGACAGCTCTTCCGTGTCGCAACACTTGCTCTTAGGACTTTGTTGCCTAACTTCTCCCAGCTGTAAGGCAGTGTTAATACATTGTGGTACATCCACGCGGTATCTGCATGAGCCACTGCAATAAATTTACTCCCGGTGGAGCCAGGCTCATGCAGCCAGTGGATATCTCTGTCTTCATCTCAATCAATGATGGTGTATGGGAGGCGCAGGAGATGCTTTCTAAGCAGAGATTGCACAAGTCAGGATCAAATGCCGAATATGGTTTGGTTTGCTTCAAAGGGGTTATGACAGCCAAAAACCTGGTCCATTGAGAAACAAGAAAAATAATTTAAAACTTGTTCCCAAAGTCCTAGGAGCTCTTTGGAGCAGGGCTGATTTATGGAAACACTGTCAAAGCTGTGTACCGATAAGCTAAACCCCTAGACCAAAATATTTGATTTTTATAAACAGTTTGTAAAATAACCATGGCAACTTCCTTTCGAATTGTAAGACTTCTGAAACCATTCAGGTGGCATTTTTGGCAAAGGAAGAGGGAAGCAATTCACAATTCAGTGATTCTTGTGAGAATTTTTAATATTTTTACTTTTTTTTTAATTACTTGAAATAAATTTTAGTGAACGTTTACTCCTCCAGTACAGTGCTGTGCTTGGTACAGAAGAAGCCTTATTTCAGAAGCATTTTGGGGAAGATGCTCCAAGGCACAAATGGGAGAACTCACTGGAATTCGGTACCTCTTTCTAGCTCTCTGCTGGTCTACCTTTGCAATTGTTGGCAAATTACTTGCTGGCTCATCTCCAGTAACAGAAATACCAGATAGCTGCTACTAGGTGAGTTCCAGTTTTCTGCAAGTGAACCAAGGTGATCTCTCGGCTGCTGTGTGCTCTTTCTGAATAGGTGGGGAGCAGATGCATCGCTTCCATGCTTCATGAGGGGTGGGCAGGGAGAGTGTGCGTGCTTCTCATGCTCTCTCTCTTGGGGGGGGGGCCTTTTTTCTGCTTGAGAGGAGTCTGTGGCAGCATGGTCGAAGTAGTAGCTCTGCAATCTCTGTATGTCAGCGAGAACACCTTCCCTGTCCTCTTCCGTACTGATGTGTTTCATGATGTCTGTAAAGAAAGCTTTTCCTTCTCCTGTTTTTAATAAATCCTGTGAAGCCATTTGCCCTTTCTTGCCTTGGCGAAACCAGTGTAAATGTCATTGCTCTGTGGCCCCTGGGACCTGTACCAGCCTTGCGCCAGCGCAGGCAGAGCTGGGAGGGAGCTGCCCACCTGCTCGTTCCAGTAAGCCCACGGCTCATGCCCTGTCTTGGTGAGAGGGCAGCTGCCGAGCTGTTCCTCCAGCTCTGAGGCTGGCTTTCTGCAAGCCCATTGGATGGATTGGAGCTGTCAGTGTTTACAAATTGTGTGTCGTGTCATATATTTATATGTAAAAAAAATTCAGGTCCTTACACTACTGCTCAGGAGCACTAGAACAAGAATGCAATGAAGCCCGTGAGCAGTTGTGTCTTCTTAAGCATTCGTTTCCACTGTTAGGCAAGGAGAGAGCTTACGGAGGAAAAGCCTGCAGGGTTGTTTGGGAGAGCCACAGCAAACCTCTCTCCATCTCCACTCTGAATTTGTAACAGTCCTACCTCTGGCCCTTGGATCAAGGAGTTGTCTGTCACAGCGATTTGCCTTCTTAGTATGTATTTAGTTGGGATTTTAATAGCTTCTGCCTTTTTTCCCTAGGCTGTCTCACTTGTTATTTCTCACAATGTTATTTTCTCCCACCTCCCCTGTTGGGGTGACGGGACCAGCCACCCTCCTTTGCTGGGACCGTGTAATGGATGGATGGTACCTTGCTGCAGGGGAGCAAGCACTGCCTCAGGAAGCAAGCACAGTCTGCTTGCTGTTTACCTGGGGGTCCTCCAAACCACCTTCTCCTCTGCAGTGTGCCTGCAAGAAGACAAAATGTTAAACAGGATTCCCAGGGTCTTTCAGAGCCCTCAGTTACAGACAATAGTGTTGCACTGGGCATGAAATTTCAAACATTATGCTATTTTAGCTAGATCCAACGTGTGATTCATTTACAATCTAAACAGAGTTTTACAGGAATTGTGACAGAGCTTAAAATAGGCCGGTGTTAACCCTCCTTTTTTTTGGCTGTATAGATTCAAATTTAATATAAATTGCAAGTGACGACAAGTCTGCTGTTTAGAAGAGCCAAGTTCAGATTAGTGGGCAGTAATAGCTAGACTGTAACGAAAGCTTTATCCCTCCTGCAGTCTCTAACCATTTCCAGAGTGTGAACAGCTTTCTATCCATGTGGAAAGCAGGAAGAGGGCAACACTGCCCTTTCCAGTTAGCCACCGAAGGGCTAAGTACTGGGAAAGATGCTCCATAATGATATGGGAAGGGTGTGGGGGAAGGTCAGCACGTCTGGGGAGGAGGAGAGTGAAAGGATTATTTTAGGTTTTGATGTAGGAAAGATCTCTCCTCTTGACTGTGGTGTTATTTCTGCTTCTGAGTATTGCTTAGAAATTATCTTCCTTAGCTGTAACTTCATAACTCCTCCCTGAAGTATAAACTAGCACTCGCACAAGCTACAATCTTTGAAGTACTGAAGGTGAAAGGGAAAGGAAAGGGAATGAAAGGGAAATACTGGAAGGTGATGGGAACTCTAGCTTAATTTCAGAGAGACATCACCCCTGTATTGTCTTGACTTCAAGTTTAAACTTTGCATTATCCAGTATTCCACCTATTTCTGCAGCTGTGCTGATTAATAGGCAAAAAGTGTATTTTAGTATGACAGTGGATTGGTTGATAAACACTGTCAAGATACCTTATTTCTAAGTGTGGGCTCTTGGGAGCACATCTCAGTCCTTGCTTGCCATTTTGAAAACCTAGCTGAGCCAGATTGAAAAAAATGGCTGTGAAGACATAGAATTCCAAAGCCAGAGGCAGTTTCTGGAGGAAATCTCAATGTTTGATAAGACTTGTGATAATCAAATATTATAATTTAGTTAGACAAGGCAGTAGAAACTGATTTGTGATGTTAAGATACTAGGAAGTGAAAGAGTTTTTTTTTCTCCACGCTATAAATATACCTATCTTACAAAAGAGTCTAGTCTTAAATGTATTAACATGCAATAGGGAGCAAAAATTGTTCTTGATCAGACACTTCAGCTGGAAACAGTTTCTTCTTCTTTGCCTTTAGGTGTATTAGAGAGCCGGGGGCACAGGTGAGGAGAGGTTATCTGGTAGGACTAGAACCCAGAGGAGGTGAGTGGAGCTGTCAGGGGCTCATGGTTGGACGAGGAAATATTTGGGCAATGTAAAAGCAATGATGGTATGTTACTGGCAGAGGAACATTGGACTTCATTGTCTGTGAAGGAGAGCTATCATTGTCTGGGCTGACAAAACTGCCTGTGGTTTTTTTTGTTTTGCTTTCACTAAAGAAAAAAAGGGAGAAAAGTCCCAGAAATTCAAATTCTATGCACCTAAGTCAACACACCCTTCCTCACCTCCCTGAGAAGAATAGTATGGTTGAGTGGGAACTAGATCTGACAAGACACTAGTATATCAACAGTGATGGTTAGAAAAATACATGCTGGCACTCCTGGAGAGAAACACCAGGCACCCCGGCCACATACTCCTTTTGTTTGCTCTGTGTGCACCCAACTAAAGATGTGGGTACAAGCAAGGTGGCTTATTCTTCTCTCTTGTGTGCCGTGAAGTCTGACGCTCTTGCCCAGCACTGTGGATGTTTGTTTTCACTTGTGAATTGTACCAGCCTGGCAGGGAAACGTTCACTTGCTGTGGATGATGGTACAAGGCACAGTGCAGAAGCATCAGGCTTCATTTTGGGGCAGATGATTTGTGGGCATGGCCATATACATATATCTTAGATACTAGCAAATGCTCCAGAAACAATGTGCCTCAGGGATGGAAATGCCCTGGTGAATTTATAGGGGAGATGAAAGCAGGAAAGAGCTTGTGGATGTGTGGACATACTACCTGGTGTCCTGAGAAGGGAGCTGCCTGCACTCACTATATTCAGCATAGCACCACCTGGAGCTCATGAGCTCACTGGGAATTGCTGGGTGGAAGCTGGCTTTGTCCCTCACTCCAGGTGAGAAGGAGCTACAGATCAGGACTCCTTTCTGAAGACAGAACTTGCTAGGAAGACAACGTGCTCGTTTCTAGCTTGTTTTTAAAATGCAGATGAAGCAAAACTGGTAAGTGGCCCTCTCTGCTCTGTGAGCAAATAGCTTCTTCTCTGTTTGAACTAAACTCAACAAGCTGCTTAGCAGGCTTGTCTTGTGAAAGGTATGGAAAAGGGGTTCAATACACAAGACTGTGACTGGTCCTTCCAGTAACAAAATTGAGGGAGATCTGGTGTCTCCTGGAGTTGGTAATGCACAGCTCCTATCATGCATAACTTGTCTGCTGTTCTCCAGTTGGGTACAGAGGGCTTCTTTCAGGGGATTGTGCTAGAGGGTTGCAAACACAGCACCCTCACACTATCCCCACTGAAAAAGGAAGGAGCCCTTGTAGGGGCCAGCTTTCACACTCCATCTTTCATCCAAGTCCTGTGAAATGCCTTCCCTCCATAGATAAGTAGCCCAGGCTGCTACTTATCCTCCAGGATGTCAGCTCTCTATTCAGGTGGGATCTCGGGCCATAGTCCAACCACTCTTACAGGGAGAGCTCTGAAACTCTGATGTTTATTGTTCATTCACCTATTTGCTTTTCTGAGTGTGTGTGCTGGCAGACCTTCATCTGCCTGCAGGATGATCCAGGATGTCCTCCAGCGGGAGAACAAACACTCATACCCACATCTCCTAGAGGGTGAGCTGATGCAATAGGATGTTTGTGTCTCCAGGTTTTGTATGAGTTTGTATCTGTTTGTTCACTTGCCTAAACTTATCTTGCAACTTCATGTGTGGTAAAAGGAGAATTTCAAATCGATTGCATCTTTTGACAGACAGGTCAGACTTGAAGCTTAGCACTCTACCATTAACTTGTGTTCAATGTACAATGAACAAAACTAATTTGGGGAGAAAATTCAAGCAATGAGTATTTGGAAAAAAAAGAAAAATTCCTCTGTTCAAGGTACGTTTTGGGTGTTTACAAAGGCAGAATGGAAGGTGAGCAGGGAAAAACTGACCTCGGAAACTGTTTGGAAAAGTGTGCATCTCGTGCAATTTGTTCCAAATAACTCTCTGAAAGCCAGGGAAGGGGAGGAGCGGAGGGAGTTGACTGAAAGTGGTTTGGTTTGGTGCAAGTAACTTCTGGCAGAAACTAGATCTCTTTAAACAGAAACAGATACTTCCCAAAACGCAGTGAACTTGGCTTGCTGTCTCCATGCAAGCTCTGAGCATGCTGATGGTTTTGAAGGTCAGTGTGCATTGAAAGCTCTGCTTCTGGGAACAAAACCAACTTGGAATGACTTTATTTCCATTCATGCAAATATCTTGCAGTGCTTTTCCTGCCTGGCCCTGGCATCCTTTACAAAAACAGTAGTGAGGTACTTCCACGAGCCAATGCAGTTTCAAACCTGTGACAAACCCCTTTTCAGGAGATGCCAATGGCTGTTCTGCATGTCAGAAAACATTACAATTTTAACATGGGGATGTGTACTTCACAGTTGCAAGGAATTCTAAAACCTCCTGTGGGTCTGTGAAGCCCCTGGGGTAGAAAGTAGTTTGCTGTAACAGACCAATGGGAGCTTTCAAAATCTCCGTCTGGGTTGGTCACTCTATAAACATTGCAGAAGTTATCTCCGTGTCCTCTCTGAGAAAGTGAATTTGGGAGGATTCATGGGGTCACGGCTATCGGCACATGAAAGAAGATGACGCTTCTCAGTGCGGTGAATAGACGCGTTGGCTCTGCTGTACTGGCAGTCCTCCTCTCCCTGTGTGCTGCCGTGGCTGTGCCAGCTGTGTGGCAACAGGGCAGATGGAGGGGTGAGCTTCTACCCCCTTCAGCATGGGGACAC